TAGTATGGTAGAAGAGAGGCATGTGATGGAAAAATAGTGCAGGGAAAGGAGAATGGGAGTGCTGGTGGCTAGGTGTGCAGTTTTAAATGGGCTGTTCAGGGCCAGCCTCACTGAGAAGGTGCCATTTGAGCAAATACTTGAACACAATGAGGGGTCAAGGCACAGGGCCATCTGGAGGAACAGTAACAATAGCCAGTATAAACACGTGAGGTGGGAGTGTGCCTGGATTCTGTGATAAGATATCCAAACAACACTGTGCTGGCACGGGGGATATAGGGCTAGTAGAGAAGACAGATAATTATACAAGTAATTACAACAAAATGATAAGTACTACCTAAGATGCAAGGAATGACCTTTAGTGGAGTCAGAGAAAGCTGGCCCAAGGGAGTGCCAGGGCGAATGATACTAGAAGTTTGACAAGGGTTTTGCCAGGGGAAGGGGAGGACCAGGCTGATGGAAAAGCATGTTGAGAGTCAAAGATAATACAGATGACCTGGTGGACTGGTGATCTTTTAAGCCCTTTTCTAGAAGGGCCACACTTCATTTGTCCAGTTAGGCTCAATGATCTGAAGGCACACCCAGAGTTTTAAATGCATAGCATTCCATTCCAAGTGTGGAGGCTAATTTATTCAACCAAACCTTACTCATGGTCCTTGAAGTTGTTTCCAGTTTCCACTATTACAAAAAAAAAAGGTAGGGTAAACATCTTTGTTCATAAAAATGTTTACACTTGTTCAGTTATTTTCTTAGCATCAATTTTAGGAATTTATACTGCTGGATTCAGGGGTTTTCATATTTCAACCTTTCATACATTTCCCAGTTGGCTTTCCGGAAAGAATCTGTCAATTCTCAGTCCTACCAGCAGTGTGGGAGAGAGAGACTTTGCCCACATCCTTACCAACAGTTTATTTTTAGTATCTTATCCCAGAAATTGGATATAAAAATAAATATGAGGAGAAGATGGTTTCAGGCTCTGAGAAGGAAGTTTCCTAAACTGACAATTTTTTCTGTCTTCTTCAGTAAAAGAAATGAGACCGAGGCCTTCCTACTGTGCAGACTTTAGGGCATGAATATGACAATTCAGAAATCTGTACTCAGGATACAGCCAGTAGAATGATCAGATATTTTGTACCCACTACCTTAGGAATGACTTTCCAGCACAAGGGTAAAGACTTCGGGCTCTGAAGGGCAGATCTGACGTTCAATTCCAGCTCCAACCCTTACTAGCTGCCTGATCTTAGGCAAGTTACTATAACCCCATGTGCCTCCATATCCTGGTCTGTAAAATGGGGATGGTGAATCTAGTACATATCTGAGCGAGCAGTTGTGAGAGGCCATAATACATTGTGAGTTCTGGTCTGAGATGAGTTGCTGCAGCTGGGGATCCATACATCCTGTCAGGATGAGGCATGAGATCCAGCCCCACTCTCTCTGCCTCCTTTTATCCTGTCCCTGAGATCCCTGGTAGTGACAGAATTTCAGAGTTACCTGGATTGTAAGGACTCCTCAGACCTCAGTCAGGTCTCCTTCCCACCACACACTGGGGAGTCTCCACGTCCCTCTGAAGTCAGTTCCCCACACCCCTAGCTCTTATCTGTTGCTTGGGGGAATGGGAGAAGACTTGGCTGGTCTTGAGCTACCTGAAAGGATAGGGGTGCTTCTGGCATGTGGGGGAAGGAAACATTTCCTAGGGACACACAAAACTAGGAGAAACCCACCTCAGCATTTGGTAAGTATTCCCTTGTCATCCCATCATCGTTAAACTCTCAGACATTTCTGAATCCACTGCTGAGCCTTCAGTGGCCAGGCTTGGTGTAGCTCCTGGAGCCAGACTGTCACATCGTCAGATTAACATGAAATAAACACTGCGTGACATGGACAGCATTTAATTTTTCCCCATCCTCCCTTCTGTAGCAGAGTAATGTATTCTAGCAGAGTAATAGTAGCTATCATTTTTGGTGAGCCCACGAGGGACCAGCCCTGTGCCAATCACTCATACACAGGGCACACTTGGAAAAGGCGGGTCTTATCCTGAATTTACAAACCTCAGTTTCCTCATACATCATATGCATATAATAACACCTACATCATAGGGTTCTGTGAACATGAGAGCTAAGACATGTGAGAAGCGTAGGCTTCTCACTCTGCAGTCTGACTTCTGGCTTCACCACTAACTAGCTGCATGACCCTAGGCAAGTTTCTTAACTTGCCAGCCTGTTTCCACATCTGAAATATGTGCTGATAGCAATGCCTATCTTATGGGGTTGATATGAGGATTAATGCATTTAAAGGACTTGGCACACGATGCCTGGCACACAATAAGCTCTTAATAAATCACAGTTGTAATGATTTTTATTACTATTATGGAAGAATCAAGAAGAGGAAGAAGATGCAGCAAAGGAGGCTGAGAAGTGGGCACCAAAAAGCTCCTGGAGAGGGGAACCATGAGAGAGGGGTGTCATGGAAACCAAGGGAAAAGAATGCTAGGAAGGAGGGAGATATAATGCAAAAGGGCACCCAGAGGCCAGTTCCGACGAGACAAAAGAACAATTTTCATATCTTAGCGACCAATGAGAAGAAGGCAGAAAGGAAGAAAATAAGCCCATAGTTTTAAATGAAGCCTTTTTTAGGCTAACCCGTTAGTCTGATTGGAATGCCCAGGTATCAGTTCCATGTTTTCTAATTAGGGAAAATACATGTTACTTGAGTAAAAGAAAAGCCTGTATCACACAAAGTGAAATAAAAAAGAAATGTCAGGTTAACATCAAGTTGGTGAAGTAAAAATTTAGACAATCTTAATTTTACACAAAAGAGGATAGGAGGGGGGAAGAAAAAGTGAATGAATTACAGAACAGGTTTTCAGGGCAGTGGTCTGTACTGAACCCCCAGGCTAATGCTGGTGAAAAGGAAGGTAGTGGAATGGACAGAATTTATTTTTCTTGTTATCTTTCTATCCTACCTGGTGCCAGAAAGAAATTATGGCAGCATAAACTGTGTTTTGGCAAATATTCAACAAGTGTTTATAGAGTAAAACTGAGAAAAGATGACAGGAAGTGGAATGATATTGTAATCTGAACTAGATGGGGGAGATAGATACCTCCCAAGGGTAGATTTAGGGAGGAGTATAGAGGAATTAAGGGTTAAAACCTATGAGAGCTGAGGAGCATTGGGGGCCCCTTAGCTTTGGGGGCCTAAGTGGGACTGCCTCTTGCCTGGGGGTGGGGGAGGGATCCCCTTTGGCTCTGGAGAGATGGAGGTGGCTACCAGGGTCCCAGAGGTGCCCCAGAGGGATGCAGGGAGTGGCCCTCTCGAGTCTTTGCTCCTGGCCAGTTCTCAGCTAAAGGGTCTGAGGCAGAGGGGCCCTCCCAGTCTCCTTCTGGCTATGAGGGTCAAGGAGGCTGAGGCTTAAGTCAAACCTGGAATACGGGGGGTGGGAGAGGGGGTGATGGCTGAGGCTCCATCCCCCTTCACCAAGAGAGGAGTGTGGCTGGGGGGGTTGTAAAGTCAGATTGTGGGGTCATGGGTGGAGCAGGAGCAAGAAGCCAGGGAGGAGCCGAGGGGCTGTTTCTGGAAAGAGAAGCACTTCAAGGCAGGTTCCAGACATGGCAGCCCAGGGAAAGCTGAACTGGTTTCTTGCAGTGCCTGGCTTCTGCCCCTCCCTCAGGGCCTCAGCCTGCACCCCTTTGTCCCTACTGAGCGGCCTATCAAGTGCCCATCATTAGAACTCCAATGTCTCTCCGTGGGCCTCTCAACCTGTGCCATTCCTGGTGCAACACAGCCCAGAGTTCCGTATGATCCCCTGGAATCTGCGATTCCTACCAGGCTTCTTGTCCCTGTCAGTCTTTATGTGAGTCTCCCTGGTCATCGTGCCCTCATCCGCTCTCCCCTTACCCACACAGCTCAGTGCTTCTCCCCTGACACACCATCTCCCATTGCTGCATACTCTGTCCTCTCAGCTCTGTGGAGTCCCTGTGTCCCGCATGACAGACTCCCTCAGGTCCTCAGGTCTGCACATTCATTTCACTTTCCACTCCCGGCCTTAAGTGCAATCATCCCCACACCCCAAGCCACGTCCTGCTTAGAGATAGGGACTTATGCATCTACAAGAAACATAGGGACCCTAGGGGTCTGATGTCACACGTGTCCTCTTTTATCACCCTCTAATGTGAGGTCAGGAGAGGGGACAGGGTAGGTTCCTGGGAAGGTCCCTCTCTCCTCTTCCTCCCCCATGAACACCCCCCCCGCTCTGCTAAAGTGATGTGTAGGGCTTCCTGGCTTTCTGATCCCTATGTTCTTTCACGTGCCCGGGCAACTAGATTGCTTTTCATCCCTCCCCAGCTAGTCTCAATTCTTGGGTTGGGGTGGGGTTGGCTTGGAGTCCTCGGGCTGCCTGTGTCCTTTAGCATGTGGCTTCAGGGCTTACAGAGGGAGGCCCCTGAGCTATCAGGAGCTGAGCCTCCTGGTGCTGGGTTTTCCTCAATAGCTGCTCTCTCCTTTCCTTATCTGGGGAGTGGGGAGACGGCCGTGTCAGCCCACAGGAAAGATTACTGGTTGTGACCAGGATGTGTCTAGAAACAGCAGCAGCAGCAGCAATCTAAGAAATCCACCCAGAGGAGGGGAGAGCTGCTGCTCATCAAAGCGACTAGGAATGGAGCCCCAGGATTCCCCATTGTGGCCTATTACCTCAGCACCAGACTCCCCAGCCATCAGACTCCTCTGGATACATTAGAGAAGAAAGCATCGGGACGCTGTCAATGAGTAGGTGCCATAGGTGGGCTCTATGACCTAAGGGACAAGTCAGTTGTAGTAAGGGGCTCTGTCCGTTTACCTTTAGGGAATATTTCAGCCCACTTCTGCTTCCCTTTTCTTCATCTGCAAAATGAGGTTGATAAAAACCCCACCTTGGAGTACAACCCACCCCTTTATAGCTTTTTACTATATTTCTCTTATTCCTTTTTCCTTTACCTTTTCCTAAAAATAATACCACGGAGACATTAAAATAGATGCTGATATATATTTATTGACATAGAAGCAGCCCACAACATATATTGTTTGGTGAAAAAATACAGACTATAGAACAGCACTTATATTTGATCACTTTTATCTATACATATATCTATCTGGGTACATAGGTATAGGGAAATATCTAGAAGAACATTCATCAAAGGGTTGACAGTGGTTCTATAAGGGTGGAAGGTTTGTACTTTTGTACTTTTCTTTATTGTTGGAATATTTAACAATGAATTGTATCACTTTCACAATGAGAATAAAGCCATCAAGGAAATGGGCACACAGAAAACAGACTCTTAGGCAGCGGGGGAGGAGGGGTGAAGAGAAAGGACAGAGGTCAGGCCATCTCCCTCCACTGTGCTGGTATCCAAGACTTTTCTCCTCCACCCCAAAAGACAGCAGCTTTGTGGATTAATTCATGCAATTAGAAGCACCCCCCCCCCAGTTTTCCCATTGCTGGACTCTGAATATGGGTTAGGGTTCATTTAAGGCTGGAGGCTAGCTCCTCACTGTGGCTCAGAAGGATCATCGGGTTCGCCAGGGGCCTCTCTTGACCCCTCCTCCTCTGCATGTGTCAGCTCCTGCAGGGTGATGATCAGATTCTCAAACACCTGGGCCTTGTTGCTCTCATTGTCACAGGTTTCCTTTGAGTGGCCCTCCTCGCCACAATATGAACAGCGGATTGTGAATTTTCGCTTTCTGGCTCTACGCATATCCCCAGGACCATCATTCTTGGACCCAGACCCACCACTGGTGGAAGGAGATTGAGCCCGGGAACTGTTGGGGGAATCAATGACTAGCACTGGATCCTGAGGTCTGGCCCTGCGTCTGGGGGGAGGAGAACTCAAGAGTGAAAGTGGAGGGTCCTGAGACTCCACTAGGATCACATCCTCATCTGAGTCATCGAGGGTATCATCTATCTCTATCACATTGCAGTTAGCACTGCCACTCTCTATTGGTGGGGAGCCCTCAAATGCCACTGGGCTGGTTGCTCTCTCCACCATTGACTCAGATCTCTTGGCCCGCTTCTGTTTCATAAAAGTGTCATCCCAATCCTCTTCCTCCCTTATCATCTTGATTAACTCCAGGAAATTAGGAAGACGCTCCTGCTCATTTGCATACATCCTGAGAAGATGCTTCAGCCTGAAGCGCAGGTCCCCATTCAGCTCAGCCCCTAAAAGGAGCTGCTGCAGGCGAGTCTGGTTTGCATCTTTCTCAGCTATGACCCCTGCCTGAATAGCATTCTGGAGCTGCACCTCTAAACGGATCACATAAAGGGAGGCTTTCTCCCCTTGTGCCTGCAGAGTGTTAAAAAATTTACCTTGAGCAGTCACACTGCTTTCAGACTCCCCAAACACCAATTTCATGGCGCGCAAGAAATCTGCCACACTTAGGTTGGGGTTGGCCGCCTGGAGCAAACGCATGACCTCCCGGGCAGGGCCCCTAAGGGTTTTCATCAAGCGCTTGAGCTTTTCCTCCTCAGACATATTCCAATCTGGCAGGACCCCATTGACCTGGATCAGCCAGTTTTCAAAGGTTTCTTCCCCCTGCGCTGGCACCACCCTCCCAGAGAACAACTTCATGTTCTTCTCTGCCATGTTGGCCATTAAAGGACCAAGACTCCTTCCCAGGGACCTCAGCATATAATGGGCCCAAGGCGGCAAGGGTGCCTTCTGCTGCCGGCTATTACCCACGCGTGCAATGATGCTGGCCATGTCTGACGATGACTGGGTATGTGAATATAACAAGATGTTCAGGCTTTTTGGAAAAGCCTAATCTGCAGGTGTGCCGGGGGTCAGTGCTTTTCTCCAATCTCAGTAGAGACTGTAAAAAAGAAAAAAAAACGGGAGGAGGTGTTAATAAGGGAACTGGCCGCAGCCGTATTCTCTCCCTTCCTGAATATCCTCCAGTACGTTTTATATCTGCCCACTGCCCTAAAAATATCCTCCTGGAGACGGGCAATTGCATTTTCACAGAGCCAGCCGGTGTCTCCGGGTGCTTTTACAGCCACAAGCATCCCCTCCCGCCAGTCCTTCAAGAGGCAACTGTTGCTTCTAACTCTAAGTGTAATAGTGTATGGAGCTGACATTGGGCTCTCAAAATAGAGCACAATGGGCACAGATTTGTGGGAATAAATAAGATCTCATTAACCTCACGGTCTCAGGTCTCTACCACACCCCCTTCTTAAAGTCCGTCCACCACCCCCCCCCCGTTATTTCGCAGATTCTTACAGGAGCTCAGGAACAAGCGCGCGCCTTTATTTCACTTCCAGCCTCTGCAACCTGTGGCCTCCACGAGAAAGCTCGCCTCCAAGGTACAGTCGACCTTTGTCCACCGGGGGTCGCCGATCCGGGACCTCAGAGCGTCAAGACTGCGACGCCGCGGAGGGGAGGGCAGGGCGGGGGAGGGAAGGGTCAGAAGCAGCCTCATCCCTCTCCCTCCCTCTCCCTCCCTCTCCCGCGCCCCCCGTTGCCTCTGCTGTAGCCAGGCGGAAAATCCCCTCTCCCACCTTTTGAATACAAGCCAAAACGACCCCCGGCCCGGTACATTTCCCCCGGGAAACCGTCGGCCTACCAGCTCGGCAATCAGCCGCACAGAATTCAAGTTGGGATTCGGCGTTGATGGCCTGCCACGGAGAAAGGGAATAGGAGTTGGACACGCACACCTATATTTTCCTCCCCAAGAAGAGATGAGGAGATGCAAAGGGGGTTCAAGGCAGACAGCTTACAATTTCTCCCCCCTCGCCTCTTCCCACCCCGTGAAAATTCCCCCCTCTCAATCCAGGCAAATCCTACCCATGGGGCAGCATCCACTGGAACCCCACCTCCTCCCTCAGCGCAGCCCGGCCAAGGGAGTGCGCCTTCCTCTGCCTCGCAGTTCTCGATTCCCCAAGCGGGGAGCCGCCCAGTCCTGGTGGGGCTTCCCCCTCCTCTCTCCGCGCCGGGCAATCGCGCCCTCTTTCTTTACCTGTGCTCGGCCGGTGGGTAGCTGACACTCCCGCGTTGACAGCCGTAGATTCCTCCTCCGGTCTCCGCGGCCCTGCAGGGGAAAAGGACCGGCGCCTCTTTGGCCGCTAAGCGACCTGGGACTGCCGGACGGAGCTGCTCCGCAAGGCCGCCCAGAGAGGGGTAGCCGAGTCGAGGCAGCACGGTTCCCACGGCAGCCGCCGCTGCTTTTATCCTCTGCCCACTGAGACAAAAGAGCGTGACGAACAGGCCAGCGCGGCCAATCAGCGGGGCGCGGAGGCGGGGTCCCCGGGCAGCCTCGGGCCAGTTGCAAATATACACCAGAGGGGGTGGTGGGTGGGCAGCAGGTTCTTGGGGTGTCAAGTGCAGCTTGGTTGCACCGACTGGAGGAGTTTGCGACTCTTCCCTTCTCCCTCTCTCCCTTGGTTCAACTCCGCGCCTTGAGGCCAGGTGCATTAAACACGAGGTGCGATCGAAATCAAAGTTCTTCACCTTTGTATAGGGGAAGGGGATCAGAAAAAGAGCATTAGAGCTTTCTTGTGCAAAAAAAGTCTTTGTGCAAACAGGCTTGCACAGACATCTCCTCTTTTACTGTGAAGGAGGTGGCAGTATGTCTATTTAACATTGAGGTGAGTTAGACACCCAGGCTGGTAACCAATATTCCCTAAAGTAGTAAGGCTGCAAGGCTGGCTGCGTCAGAATCATTTTGGGGAGCTTGTTAGAAATGCAGATTCCTGGAGGATTCTGATTTACTAGGACTAGAGTTGGGAGTGTGATTTTGTATTTTGTATTTTTAAACAGCTCTGTAGTTGATTTTGAGGTGTGGAGAGGATGTGGAATAAGTAAATGGACCTCCCTCCAATGTATCTGTTCACAGCATATCTGTGGTGAAATGCAGTTCCAGAGGAGATGTTCCTACCTGGGACCATGATCTTCCTGAAATTGTATGCAAAGATTTTGGACTCTTTAGGAGGCTGAATAATGGTCACCCAAATATATCAAGTCCTAATCCCTGGAACCTGTAAATGTTAACTTATAAAGTAAAAGAGTCTTTGCATATGTGGTTAAATTAAGGATCTTGACATGGGGAGATTATCCTGGATTATCTGAATGGGCCCTAAATCCAATCACAAGTGTCCTTATAAGAAAAAGGAGAGAGAGAGAGCTGATGCACACAGAAGAGAAGGTGATGTGAAGACAGAGGCAAAGGCATGCTGGCAGCCACCAGAAACTGGAAGGGGCAAGGAACAGAGTACATCCCTGCCCATACTGTGAATTCAGCCCAGATAAATTGGTGTTGAACTTCTGGCCTCTAGAACTATGAAAGAATAAATTTCTCTTGTTTTAAGCCACCAAGTTTGTGATAATTTTTTACGGCAGCGATAGGCGACTAATATAGACTCTGTATTTTTCTGAGTTCATAGCTTTGTAGATTTTTAAATGGGTCTGTGGTTAAAAAATCTTTTTTCGTTAATACCTTCCTCCTTCAATTTGTAGTTGTGGAAGAAGTGTGAGGAATGAAACACAATTTGACTAGATCCCTGAACCACAGCTCTCTGCTGCTGATATAGCTCTTTCATTTCTCGACTCGAGGAAAGGTTGATAGGTTCCCCTTCTGTGAGCTTTTGAGGGGACCTCTCCTTTGCTGCATTTGGCATCGCTGGCCCCAGAGAAGGAGCAACTCCATGGAAATGGCATGCAGGGCTGTCTGGAGTGAATGAGCCATGAAAGCAGTGGCTCCATGTATTAGTTTGCTAGGGTTGTCATAACAAAGTATCACAGACTGAGTGGCTTAAACAACAGAAATTTATTTTCTCACGGTTTTGGAGGCTGGAAGTCCGAGATCAAGGCGCCCACAGGCCTGGTTTCTCCTGAGGCCTCTCTCCTTGGCTTGCAGATGGCCGCCCACTTGCTGCCTCTTCACAGGATCGTCTCTCTGTGCGCTGGAGTCCCTGATGTCCAAATTTCCTCTTCTTATAAGGACCCCTGTCAAATTGGATTAGGACCCACCTTCATGGCCTCATTTTAACTTAGTCACCTCTTTAAAGGCCCTATCTCCAAATATAGCCACATTCTGGAGGTACTGGGAGTTAGGGCTTCCACATATGAACTTTGGAGGGACACAACTCAGCCCATAACACTCTATTTTCCCTTACTGGGAACACTTACTGGGTTATGGGAAAGCATGTCTTCTTTCCCTCATATAGAATGTGGCTAGGAGGTCCCTGTGGAGATTTTAGGGGGTCAGGGTGGTGGTGGCATGCACGGCACAAGCGGACTTCCCAAGTGCAAAGTTGTTGCTGTTGCTTGGTCTTGACTGCTGATGCTTGGAAGCAAGTGAACAGTCTAATGCCCTTCAGCCACTGTTGGGTTCATCTTTAGCCTGCCAAGGTAATTCACCTGCTCCTTTCTGCTTTCTTATTTCCAGTCCCAATACTTAGAACTCCTTAGAGTAGACCGTCCAAATTTGGAAACGAAGTACTTTCCATCTCAGGACTGTGGCCTTTCTCTTGTGGATGGAACAGTGGGGTGGTGGTGGTGGTGGAGGGTGGTGGAGGTAGAGAGAAGGCAGGTTGGTCATCTTGTAGAGTCAGGGATGATGCTGGCATTAGCTTATGTGTTACCTTTAGACTCTTCCTTTGACTCCCCAGTGCTGTGACATATGACCCTGACCTCTAATTTAAATGGCTTCATCACCAATCCAGGTGATCTGCAGTTGGACATGGTGGCATCAAAAAAGACAAAGACTAGACCTCAGAGCTCTGACAAAAATGTTGAAAGGCAATGGATTGTGTATCAGGTGCCTGGGTTGGGTCATTAGCACAAAGCGAGGGTCTCTCCATGAGGGGCTGTGAGGAGATTTGCTAAGCTGGCTCCAGTTGGATATTGAGCATCCCTTATCTCTGGCCTCACGTTGCAGGATGTCAGGGGACACTTCCAATTGCAAAGATTCAGACTCTGCTGGCTCTAAGGAGGCCACATTTTATTTTCCAATTGCAAAAATATAAAATTTAAAAATGTGAAAGTTAGGAGCTAAAGCTTTCAGTTGAAACCATAATGGCTACCTTTGGCTGCCTTCCTCCTCTGTTTCAGGAATTTTCCATCTGTTATCTCATTTAAGCACCTCTGGCAACTCTATTAAGATAGACGTTGTTCTCCCATCCAAGGAGCTGAAGGCAGGCAGGCACTTCACACTAGGGCTCTGACTCATCGGAAGTCAAAGCTTGGATGGGGATGCTTGTGGGAGATCCTGCCCATGCTAAGCTGGGACCCCAAGGACGGCATCTTTCACGAAAATATTCAGCAAGAGGGTGAAATAAAGATATTTTTAGACAAACAAAACCGAAGAGAGTTTGTCACCAGCAGACTGCGCGAATGGAAATTCTAAAGGATGTACTTCAGGAGGAAAATGATCTTTGAAGAATGAAATGCAGGAAGGAATGAAGAGCAAGGAAAGTGATAGTATGTGGGCAATGTAAGTGAATATTGACGGAAGAAGGAATCACAAAAACATCTATTCTGTTTTTTAAAAATAAACTTAAAGTACCATACAATAACAAAAGACATCAGGAGGAGCATAAATGGAGTTCAACTTTTCTAAGGCCCTTGTATTATATCAGAAGTGATTTAGATATTTATTAAATTTACACTTTGATATGATAATTATGCATGTAGGAATTAATAGGATGTAACTATTAAAATAATAGCAATAGGATGAAAATTTCCAAACTAGTAGAGAGGGAAAATAATTGAATAACAGAAAAATATTCTCAGTTTTTGTTCAAAAGTCAAGAAAGAAGAAGTGAAAGAAACATAGATGGAACCAATACAAGCACAAAATAAATGGTAGTTTGAAACCCAAATATATCAATAATTTTATTAAATTTTTATGAGCTAAATGCTCAAGTTAAAAAAAACAAATATCGGGGCCGGCCCCATGGCTTAGCGGTTAAGTGCGCACGCTCTGCTACTGGCGGCCTGGGTTTGGATCCCGGGCGCACACCAACGCACCGCTTCTCCGGCCATGCTGAGGCCGTGTCCCACATACAGCAACTAGAAGGATGTGCAACTATGACATACAACTATCTACTGGGGCTTTGGGGAATAAAAGGAGGAGGATTGGCAATAGATGTTAGCTCAGAGCTGGTCTTCTTCAGCAAAAAGAGGAGGATTAGCATGGATGTCAGCTCAGGGCTGATCTTCCTAAAAAAAAAAAGAAAAACAAATATTGTCAAATGGGATTAATAAATACTCGCATATGCTATTTGAGACAAATCCAAAATATAAAGATAGAGAGGTTGACAATAAAAAGATGGAGAGAGATAAATCACACAAATAGTATATAAGTGATAGAAAACTTGTATAGCTCATTTGTATCAGACAAAATACACTTAAAAGCAAAAAGCATTATTAAAAGTATAGAAGTTTATTTCTTTTTTTTTTTTGGTGAGGAAGATAAGCACTGAGCTAACGTGTTGCTAATCCTCCTCTTTTTGCTGACGAAGATTGGCCCTGGGCTAACATCCGTGCCCATCTTCCTCCACTTTATATGTGGGACGCCTGCCACAACATGGCTTGATAAGCGGTGTGTAGGTCTGCACCCCAGATCCAAACCTGCGTACCCCAGGCCGCCGAAGCAGAGCCCATGAACATAACCACTACGCCACTGGGCTGGCCCCAGAAATATAGAAGTTTATTTCTTAATGATAAAAGGTTCAATTCACCAGGAATGATTATGCACTTATAACAAAACCTCAAAATATATAAAGGAAAAGTT